TTGTGTGCGTGTGCGTGCGTATGTCCATATGCTTGTCTTCCTATGTATGCACACATGCTATTGGTTTATTGCTACATAGCTCAAAAGTCCAGGCCCGGCGACCATAATAGCAAATCCCACAGAGGGCTATGCGGATGTGCAGGGATTGTACATCAGAGTTACATCAAACCAAGAAGGTTTCTGGTAAGGATAGTTGTGGAGATGGAGGGCATGCAAGGGCCTGGACCACAAGGGTTTGTGGAACTCCTTCAATGGCAGCATCTCCATAGGACCAGGCGAAGATCAAGATGAACATCAGCATCCTGGCGGAGATCTACTTCCCCACCAGCGCGGAGGTCATCATCGACACCAACGCCGAGAACAACATCGACCTCAGCCCGAAGATCAACATCGACCTCAAACGAACCGATGAACGCCAACTTCCAAATGAGGCGCAGCACCATGTCCAACGAGCCCGGGAATTGATTGGTGTATGTTCCGAGGCATTGGGAAAGCTATCAGAACCAAGATGTCCGAATCTCCCAGCGCACCATGTACAGCCTCACTCAGCAGCAAAAGTTCATGCTCCACCTGATTTCCACGGCACAGCATTCGACAAGTGCAGTTCAATTGCGAGCTGGGTGAATGCTTACAGCCAGCTGTGACTGCCCTTAGTAAGCCTTATTGTTGTTTGTGGCTTGTGCCATTGGCCAGCCGCGCCAAGGTTCAACAACATTTTGGAGAGTTTTGTTGGCAGCGTGTGAGACCACACTTTTGGCCTACTTGTTTTCCTTTTTTGTTTGAGGAGATAAAGATTCACTCGAATACGGAAGGCGTTTTGTGGTTAAGAAAAGGCGATTGGCCTGATCGGTTGAAAATCGGCATCATGAGGAACATGTAGAATTTACGCGGCGTACCCCAAGGCTTGGTGAAAGGAATACACGGTATTTGCGGTGTTTCCTGCATGTGACAGCTGCTGTGATAAGAACCCAGACTGGGTACCCAATCAATATAGCGGTGTGGTTAACGTTGATTAACGCGCATCTATGCACCAATTGGACCTGACCTAATATAGTGATCGCTCTGTGGTGTTGTAGTGATGCGTGTATATGCGTATACCTTGGAATTGCCCAGGGTCCCGGGGTTGCGGGAATGATGTAATTGTGTTAAACAGTTAAACATATGTTTATGGTTTCAAGGTGGTTTGCAAAAAGCAGGCCACACAGCAACCTCTTCTGCACTGCCACTACAACCACCTACTACTTCGTACCTACTAACTACTGTGCCTACTAAGAATCGCAATAGCGTTTTGACCAACAACAGCAACAAAAGCAACACGCCGTACTCGCTGATTGCAAAACCAACAGCAACAATAACATCAATGACAGCAACACTTCCACTATGAAACAAAGAACTAACAGCCACAGCAACATTTGCAACCACAACATTTACAATAACAAAAAGGCCGCTGCATGTCGGAAATATCATAAGGTACCGGGAGCCTGGGCGGGATTTGCCCAGCTAGACTAATTTCGACCATCTGCGTATTCTGAGTGTGTTGCTGTTCTTCTTTCAGAGCGGCTTGGTTGGAATTTGCCGGGTTCCGTTGTGCCTAGATGCGGACACGGCCTCCTCTGGATACACACCAGCGAGCAAAACCAAATCTTTCCGGGCAGCATGCAGCAACACCACAGGTGTCAGCAGCGGTGAACCGCAATGGAAAACACACTGCAATGCTTTAATCAAAACAATTGTGCTTGAGAACAAGGTCTTGTTGCGAAGACCGCAGACACGTCTTGCAGGGCTGCAAGACAATCGCACATGCCTTGCAGCGCAGCGGGGCAAATCAAAGCGTCACGGTAGTGCCCCAAGACACCTTAGAAGCGCCCTGAAAGCGGATACAAATCGTTTTCTTTCTTTCTCCTGTATGGCTTCGGAACGATATGTATCCAAATCGTGGGTTTTGGATACATGTATCTATTTTCTTGGTTTTGGATACAAGCACTTGCCCGTATGTATCGGCAATCCGGTGCGCCGCAACGATATGTATCTACACGGTTTGGGGTCATTTCGATGAGCATTTGCAATGCAACGTCTCCGACGCATGTGCTACAGGAGACAATTTCAAAACAAGGTGACAGCGACAGATCACTGCTTTGACCGGCTCCGATTCTCTGGAAAAAATTGCTGGTGCAGTCCTCGAAGTGCTAACGGCGGCGGCGGTTCAAACAGCAGCTCCTGCAGCACTACAACAATCACAAACAACGGCAGCTGTGGCAGCGGCAGCAAATGAGTTGTCGGTAGACTGCACGCATGATGTTGTTGGTTGTTTACTTTTTATTCTTCGCCCTGTGGTAGTAGAGTAGCATCCGCTGCAGCCGTCGTCGTATCACGACCTGTGTCTGTGTCCGTGTGAGCATGTGGCGTAGAAACTCAATACCACTGCTGCCGGCAACTGCCGACATTGGATAACCAGCAGCAAGGTGGGTAGCAGTTGTGGCGTTCAATTGCTGGGTCAGAGGCGGCGATACCATCGCCATAGTGGTGTCACCCGTGCCTAGCAGCGACGACGTACAACTTTCCACAGCGCACGGAATGCAGACGGATAGTAGTAGAAAGCATGGTGACAAGAACAGGAGGGTTTCAAGTTCGTTTTCAGCAGTTCCGTTGAGGTTCCCTCGGCCGTCACGGAAGCCACGCATCGCCGTGGGCGCTGCCCAGGACTTTACGTGAATGTACTCGGGTCTGATAACACGTATCCTGAAAGCCTTATGTTAGGTTTGAATCATCAATTTTTTAGCTAGCCTTCGTGTCCCAGAGTGTTACTGTCTGAAATACCAGTTCCTTGCCGTACGGACCGCGGTAGTAGGATCCCACTCTAGCCGTTATTAGAGCAGGGGGTTGTTTGATCAGGATTCGGGGCCTGGGGTGTCCCAGGAGAAAACAGGAATCTGGCCCAGTGGGTCTCAAATGGTGATGACGGTCATGACGAATTTCGTTGCCATTGACATCGGTCTCGCAGCCGTCGAATATGTCGGTATTGTCAGTTGTCAATAACGCCAAACTGGCTGCAAGTATGGTGCCTGCAGCCATTATTCGTTTCGGAGGTCCAAATTGGAGGAATGCTAAAGTTTAAAATTCAAGAATCCTGCAGTCGAAAGCCCGCCCTGCGAACAGCCTCGGCTTGATCGGACAGTTTACGTCGGGTTGCCCAGAGGTTACCACAAGGGTTGTCCTTGCGATTTAAGGCTGTCAAACTTCTATGTACCCGATGGTGGTTAAGGAGTTGGTTTTGTCCTAGGTCCAACGGGGGTTTGTTCGCGCTTGTACATAGCAGCAACCATCCTTTGTGGTTCGTGGTGCATGGAGAACAAACCCCAGGCAATTCTTGAGTAAATGGTAGTATTATATTATATTCCCTCGAGTTCCTTGATATGTTCCCAGCGCAAGCCCCCAACCCATCCACGGTATTATTGCTGCCGACACCAAGCAACGCCAGACCTGCATGTCGAAGCCGGGTTCTGATTCCCATCGAAGTGGGAACAGAGCGGAGTTTAGGGCTTAGCGCATTGGGATCGCACTAAGCCCTAGAACATTCTAAAGAAACGCGGAAAGCCGACAGAGTGGTTTTGGAGCCTTCATAGTCTTTGACTCTCCAGGAGTGATGTTCAACACGGGCTGCCAGTGCAAGTCCTGCAAGTAGGCATCGGCTTCTCTAGAGCCTTGACGACTGTTCCAAGTCCAAGTTCGCTCCGTTTTTTTGAGACAGAGGGCAACCATTGCTAATGCAAGCACTGGAGGCGAACTTGATTTTTAACACTTTCCAGGAACTATCCCCTACTGTTTGAACCTCTGCATCCCCGAAATCCCGAAATGCAACGCCTTAAAGCCGCATTGTCGTGTCGACTGCATCGTATGCAAGTGGTGGTTGGGGGGAGGGCAACAGAGAAATGCCGGCTTGAAGAAGCAGCATGCAGGATGGGGCTGAACAAGCCCACGGACAACAGGGGCTGCCTCCATGCAGCAATGGGCTGGACCCGCCGACAAGAGGGGGGATGCAGAAGCCCCGTGCAACACCCCTGCTGCCACAGGACGAGTTTTCCATTAATTTTGATGCGACGATTCGCTTGGTTTTGATTCTGATCTCTGCTTGTTTTCGTTTCGTGTTTTTGTGTTTTTTCGAATCATCCACGCTTGGTTTTTCGGTTATATTATCCTATTTGTTTTATCAGTTTTATCTACGATCAAAACCCTCGGGTTCTGACAGAAGCAATCTCCATTGTTACACCATGTGATCTCGAAAGTTTCCAATCGAACGATGCCCTGAAAAAATGGCACGAATGCCCTACAGGCCCTATTTTTTTGAAATGCTGAGCCATTAAGCGTAAACCTGTTGTCCAATAAATCGTTGCAGGTCAACAGGCAGCTGCGGCGACTTTTGCCGGAACTCGCGCATCAAGTGGCAAAGCATTGCTCGGGGGGACTCGGGTCACTGGTTTGCGCTCTGTAACCCCATGTAACTCCAATTAGAGTCGAGGTTTCGGGGTTTCGGAGTTACGTGTTAAGGGTTAAGAAACAGCACCACTCTAGTGAGTGGCACAGCACCAACATCCATTCGGTTTTGCAGGGACATTCGGGCAGCTGCAGCTGCCTTGTGAACGCAAATGCCCGCAAATCGTAAGCCCGTCGGATGGGGCAAATATTGACCAATGTGTGTGCACAACCGGGCTGCAGGGCCTGGCAGCTGGTCCTCCCATCACTCCGAGAAATCTGAGGAGGTGCGAGCTTCTGCTCAGGAGTGCAGCGGTTTCATATTGTTTGCCTCGCCGTGTTCACGAAAAACGACAACCCTACCATGATGAATTGCCAAGAGTTTTACGTGAAGTGGTCGATGCACCGTACGGTTCCAGTTCTTGCCATGACTGCAATGTCTTTCGACAGTGGCTCGGTTCCTACGCAGGCGTTTGACCAGGTTTTCCAGCCGTAGGCCCTTGGAGGAGCACTGCACCTGTAGGGTCGGCATGGTTTTGCGCTGCTGGTTCTCATTCCTGGTGACTCTCAACAACGTGCCTCTGCTTGCACACAGACATACACCTAGCTGCCGCAGGTTGCTCACTTTCCTTGCTTGGTTATATGTTCAGGTGAAGGGCATCTTTTCCGCCTCGCGCGGCGAGTCTCACTGTGCAGTCCGCGACGATCAGGGGACCTGCAGGAGGGTGTTGGACGTCTCGTGTCCGTAGCGGCCTTCTTGCTTCTCTTTTCCCAGTGCCTCCAGGCAGTCCGAGGATGCCGAAGAGTTGGTAGCCCTGCAAGCCAAGATGGTTTCTTGGCCCAAGTCCCAAACCCTGAAAAATCAAACCTTGGCGGGGAACCTGCCCGCGACATTGCGAGTTCCGCTTCGGGGCATCTGGTTGCAAGGGGAAAGGCTGCACTGCGACTTCGAGTTTGAAGTAGCATCAGGGTCGGCACAATAGTTTGTTTACGTCCTGGTATGATGTGCGACTGTCTTCATGCTTCATGTGGTGACACCAAGGAGAAGGGCCCACACTGGGGCTGGTGGGCTCGGGGTCGTTTCCATCGTGGACGAGGCTACTACAAGGCTTGTGCTCTTTACACATGTGCTCGTT